TGGCTCAGAGTCTTGCTGAGTTGAGGTGATGGAGACTGGAGTTCTGGAAAGAAGAGGTGGCTGGAACTTGAAGGGCAAAATACCAGAGATGAGGTTGCTGCACAAGGAGGGAAAAATGCGTCCATGACCTATGGAATAATATCACACGTCATATACACGGAACTGCACTCCCAGGGTGGGGGGTGGGGAAAGGAGGCATAAAAAGATTTGAAGAAAAAATGGTCAAAACTCTCCTAAACTTGGTGAAAACTATTAAGCCCACAGATTCAAGAGACTTGACACATTCCAAACAGAATGAACTTGGAAAAACCATACAAAATAGCATAACCGAATTACTAAAACCTTGTGATACAGTCTTTAAAGCCGCCAGAGGAAGAGAAGATTCATTACATACAGATAAAGACTTCTTTTCTAAAATTAAGCAAGTGAAATCAGAGAGGGAAACAAACTATCAGAGATTCTTAATCATAGGAAACAAACTGAGGGTTGCTGGAGGGAAGGGGGAAAAGGGGTAACTGGGTGGTGGACACTAAGGAGGGCATGGGATGTAATGAGCACTGGGTATTATATAAGACTGATGAATCACTGACCTCTACTCTGAAACTAATAATACATTAAATGTAAATTAATTGAATTTAAATTAAGAAACAAAAAATTTTAAAAATTAAATGAAGCAAGCCAGAAGATAACTGGAACATCTTTTTCTTCTTCCTTTTTTCATTGAAGTTGACAGACAATGATACATTAGTTTCCAGTGTATAATGTAGTGATTCCACTGGTGTATTTTTTACCCTGTGCTCCCCACAAATACGGCTACCAGTGGTCTCCACTCAAAGCTATTGTGGTACCAATAATGGGACACCTTTCTAGACCTGCAAGAAAATACGGTCACCCTCAAATCTGCCCAACATCCACTACCATAGACTACACCACCATGGTCTCTTGTCTGAACCAGCGGAGTAGTTTTCTAACCAGTTTCCCTGCTTACATCCAAGCGCCTTCTGATCCATTCTCCAACAGAAGCCGGATTAAGTTTATCAACATGGAAAGAGAACCATGCAAGACTCTGCTCACAGAAACAGCTGCCTACTTTACTCTAAGTAAAATCCAAAGCCCTGACCTGGCCTGCAAGGCCTACCTACTTCTCCTGCCTCTCTTCCATGCCTGCCACTCAGATTCTCACTGAGTTGGCTTCTTGTGGCCTCACAACAGTCACCAGTGCATCGCCTGGGCCAAGAGCAGGCCTCTCCCTCCCTTCTCTGCTTGTGTGTCTCCAGTGGGGTTCTAAGGGTGAAGTCCATTGGAGGCCTTTCTTGACAGCTCCCATCCTCCCAACCACAGCGAGGCTCTGCTGGGTTCCCTCAAGCATGACACACAGTACTCTTTCATCTAAGCACTCATCTGTGTCTGAAGTGCTATATTTATCTGTGTGAGGATTTGATTGTTGTCACTCTCTCTCCTCGACAGGAGATCCTTGAAATTGGCTCCACATGGGGTATGTTGCCCTAAATATCCCGCTACGGTACGCACTCAGGAAATACTTACTGGAATAGAGTGAATCATAGATGACCACTTACCTCAAATTATGAGGAGACGGGTTGGGGTCTTATTCAGAAGGAGTCTCCTGTCCTTTCTGAAAGGATTATAGGAGGCCATTCTACTGTGCACGTTTCCAGAATGACAGACTAGAGAGGCGGACTTGCAGTGTGTTACAGCTCCTGACAGAGAAGGCTCGAGGCTCAACTTCCCCCACGGTATCGCTTTCATTCTTGCCTATGCACCGGGGAGGAAATGATTCTCACTTAGAAATCACACAACCTGCATCAAAAACTAATGATATATTTTATGGTGACTAACATAACCCAATAAAAATTTTTAAAAAGAGAGAGAGAAAGAAAGAAATCACACAACCAGGCGCATTTACTTTGCTTGCCCACCTCGCCTAAGTCCCAGCCTTTTGGAGTGTGCACTAGTGAAGTCAGGTGAGTGAGTTCAGCACAATGCCCAATCACACAAGACTTTTTCCTCCCACTTCCAAAAACTCCAGGGAAGAGAATGGGAAACAAAGGGTCTGACAGTTAAAACTCCTGAGACACAGGGCTGTGTGCTTACGGCTCAGGCAAACAGAGCCAGCCAGAGTTCTTCTGGGCCAGACCTCAAGGACCTAAGGGGATGAATTCTCCATGTTAATCATGGCAAAGCTTCACCCTTTTGGAGGCTTCAGGGTATAAAATGACTGCTTTGTTACTTAGGGTCCTGGAGTTGCAGAGGAAATCAATTCCATTTATATGCTTTAAAAGAATTTGTAAGTAATAAAGGTCTAATACTGTAAATGGCAAAACCTTTTCCCTGGGCAAGTACTTCAAAAAGCAAACTCCATAATGGCAGTTAATGTATCATTCAGAAGACACTCATGTGATCAATTAACTCATTACACTTAACTATTCAGCCTGTTAATCCAAATTTAATCATCACCTCAAAGCTGGTTGACCATTATCAAGTCTACTAACACGTCACATGGAAATGATGCACCATGGGGAAAAAATACAGTCTCAAGGCAGGGACACACTGACTCTTTAAAAGGGATTTAAAATCTTATACCCATGCCTCCTTCCCAGCAGCTGTATTCTCCCCTTTGGCTAAAGTTTGCTCTTGCTAAAAAAAAAAAAAAAAAAAAAAAGGACATTTCTATGGTCTCTGCCAGCTCTATTCACCTAAGGTTTTCCCACATTCACGGCTTGATGAGGTGCATGTGTGCACATGATCTGGTTGTTTTTAGCCCAAAGGCCACTTAGGGATGAGGTAAGAATTCCAAGTGAAGTTTAAATTTGCAATAATAGCAGTGGCCAGAGCACACAACTTCAGGCTGCCAGAACTAAAAATAGTCCTAGGGGCACCTGGGTGTCTCAGTCAGTTAGGTATCCACCTCCTGATCTCAGTTCAGGTCTTTTTTTTTTTTTTCTTTTTAAAGATTTTATTTATTTATTTGACAGACATCACAAGTAGGCAGAGAGGCAGGCAGAGAGAGAGAGAGAGGAGGAAGCAGGCTCCCTACCAAGCAGAAAGCCCGATGCAGGACTCGATCCCAGGACCCTGAGATCATGACCCGAGCCGAAGGCAGAGGCTTAACTCACTGAGCCACCCAGGCGCCCCTCAGTTCAGGTCTTGATCTCAAGGTCATGAGTTTGAGCCCCGCACTGGGCTCTGTGCTGGGCATAGAGCCTACGTAAAAAATATAAATAAAATAAGAAAGCCTTAGAGCTACTGAATCATACCAAACTTCATTTTACAAATAAAAAAAAAACTGAGATCCAGGGAAATTTCATTCCTTCTAATGATCTTATTTACCTTTCACAATTCAGTTCAGACACACACATGTTAAGACTTCCCTGACCACTCCTTGCTGTCATCAACCCCAAATATTTACTGGCTGTGTGTTAGGTACCAGCCCCTGTGGCAGGCACTTGGGATCCACCAGTACACAACTGAGACAAAAATCCCTGCCCTTGAGTAGCTTACATTGTCGCAGCAGACAGGCAATAAACAATAAGTGTAATAAATACAAATAAATACTGTAAATCCTACCGTAGGTGGAAGGCTATAAATACTATAGAGGAGGAGAATAGAGCAGGGAAAAGGAGATCAGGAGTGCCAGAGAGCAGGGGTTGGTTCATTTGTGATTTTTAGTTATGTAGGTCTTGTTGAGAAGGTGGCAACTGACAAGAACCTAAAAACAGTGAGGAAATTAGTCATACAGGCACATGGGAGAAGAGTATTCCATATGCCAGGCAGGGGGACGGCACATGCAAGTGTTCTCTTTTATTTTTAGGATATTTATTTGAGAGATAGAAAGAGAGAGTGTGTGTGTAGTTGGGGGGAGGGGCAGAGGGAGAGAGAGAGAGAATCCTCAAGCAGACTCTGCACTGAGCATGGACCCCAAAGCAGGGCTCGATCCCAGCACCCTGAGATCATGACCTGAGCCGAAATCAGGAGCCAGATGCCCAACCTACTGAGCCACCCAGGCACCCTAACATATGCAAATGTTCTTAGGTAGCAGCAGGCCTGGTGAGCACAAGAAACAAGGAGCACGTCGGTGAGAGAAGTAAGGATTGGAGAGAAACTGGTCATGCAGAGCTCTGTGGACCACTGCGAGGGCCTTGGTTTGAGCAGAAGAGTGAGGGACCCAACTCCTGACCTCTAAGGTTCACTCTGGCGGCTGCATTGAGAATAGAATGTGGTGGACAGATACAGAAGCACAGAAACCTGAAGGGGCTATTGCAATGACTTAGGTAGGAGATGATGGCAGTTTGGAACCAGTGGCAGCAGTCAAATGAGAAGTGGCTTAATTCTGGCCATATTTTGAAAATATAACCAACAGATTTGGTTGACAGATTAGATGGATTATAAGAGAGAGTGATTCTGAGGGTTTTCTTCTTTTTTTAAGTCTAAGCTACATACTTAACTAAATATTCCAGTTCATCAGGACGTGTCTAATTGTTCTTCCATCTTTCACTCTGCACCAAGCTGTCTGAGCGCAGATGTGCTGTATGCACTTCTACATTCCCAATGCCTCCTGCAGCATTCAATAAATGTTTGCCAAATAAATGATCATGAAGCATGGCAGATGTGAATTCGCGTTGGACCCAAAACCATCTTTAATGTCTGTCTGCCAAGATGCATTGTACCTCAAGTATGAAAATCCATGTGCTAATATGAAGTCAGCCAGCCTCCAGTCTAAAAGAGTTTGGACTCCACATGCTGGTCTCTCTTTCCTGACTGTACTGGTTTTACAAATTACCACAATGTGTAACAAATTACCACAAAAGTAGTGACTTAAAACACTCACATCTATAAAATCAGCTTTGTGTGGGTTAGGAGTCCCAGCACATGGTCCTCTGTTCAGTTCTCACAAGGCTACAATCGAGGCATCTGCCAGGCTGTGTGTGTTCTTACTTGGAGGGTGAACTGGGGGAGATTCTGCTTCCAAACTTATTCAGGTTATGGGCAGTTTATTTCCTTGGACCACAGAACTGAAGGCTCCAGCTTTTTGGCTGTTGGCTGGAGGCATCCTGCTGTTTCTAGAAGCCACCTGCAGTGGCTACATGAGCTTCTCCAACACGTTCACTCACTTCATCAGGCCCCCAAGGAGAGTCAGCAGTCTGTTGAAAAGAAATGTTGTAGAGCATAAAGGAATCCCAGGAGTGACATCCCAGCACCTTTGCTTTATTCTATCAGTTAGAAGCAAGTCACAGGTCAAGCCCACACTCAATGAGAAGAAACTACACAAAGGCATGCACATTGGGAAATGGAAATCATAGGGGACCACATTAGGGTCTACCACAATGACTTTTATCATTAGAATTTTTTTAACCATAGGTCTGGTATAGCATGGCACTCTAGACTTCACTATCCAATATTGTAGCCACTAGCCCCATCTGTGACGGGTGTGATGGAAGAGTGGAACTTCGAACTTCTTTTACAAATTTAATGAATTTAAATTAAATTTAAAAATTGATATTCAACTCAGTTATTGGAGAAATTTGTATGTCTTTGGAACAACCTGGGTATATGAATCTAATTTTTCAATGAACTTTTATGAAATCTAGAGACCGATCAAGTATTTCCACTGAAAATTTAGTGTTCCCATTGAGATATGCTGTTAATTATAAAATCACCAGATTTCAAACACTTAGTATAAAAAAATCTCATTAATCATTTTTATATTGATTACGTGTTGAAATAACATCCTGTATCTCTTGGACTAAACAAAACATATTACTAAAATAATTTTAGTTTTAGAATTTTTTTTTTTAATAGGTTACCAGTAAACTGAGTTACATATGCGGCTCGCAGTCTACTGCTGAGAGAAAAGACGGGTGTTGATCTTACAATGTGGAAATGCACACCATCAAAGTTAGCTAAGAAGGCAAGACAACAGCTGTCTAATGCCCAACAGTAACCCCTGCGGTGGCCCAGATGAAGGGAAGCCGGGGCGGGGGGCGCCCACAGGCCCGCCAGACTTCAGCAAGAGGAGAGCGGACGAAGCTGTTTTGAGCCGACGCGCCGCTGACCGCGCTGCGCACGCACCGCCGCGCGCGCCGCCCGGGAACGCGGGTCGCCGTTTGACCCCGCCGCCGCGCCGTAGGTCGGGCTCCACGCTGCCGGCAGCCATGGCGGACGTGTCCGAGAGGACGCTGCAGCTGTCTGTGCTGGTGGCTTTCGCGTCCGGAGTGCTCGTGGGCTGGCAGGCGAACCGGCTGCGGAGGCGCTACCTGGACTGGAGGAAGCGGAGGCTGCAGGACAAGCTGGCGACGACTCAGAAAAAGCTGGACCTGGCCTGAGACCCCGCGCTGTCGGCGCCCTCCTCGCCTCGCCCACGCGGGGGCTCAGGCCGGCTTCACACTCACCGCCTGCAGCGCCTTGTTCTTTTTGGAGAGTTGGTGAGTAGTACTTAAGGGGCTGTGAGTAAGAGGAGACGTTGGGAGTGGGTGAAAATCTTGCCCCAAGTATTCTGAGGGGGTTTTGCTTTCCCCAGTTTTGCTTTTCTAGTTCAGTTCACTGCGCGAACTGCCTTTAGTGGGAATGCCTTACCATGTGCAACATTGTTGCACCTTGGCGTTAAACTTCAAAAAGGGAAATCCTGGAAAGAAGGAAAAGAAGAAAGAAAAGGGACGGTGGAGGTATTCCTGCCACCTCCTACCCCCTTATCATTCTTTTCGATAATATCCTTGGTAAACCATAGTACATCTTTGCATTCACGTTTTGTAATCTCCAATCCGAATTCTTTGGTTGTTAGCAGTCTGGTAAAGTGGAAAGACCCGTGACCTGGAAGTTAGGAGCCTTGCATCTAGTGGTAGCTTATCTAGTGGTAGCTTTATCATCAGAGCTGTGCACATTTAATTATCTGTAACATCAAATCTTATAGTTAATAGTTCTTAACTACACAATAGAATAACTTGAAGTTAACGGTTGTATATTTCTGATTATTTTTCTCTTTTCTGTTTCCAGCTGTTTGTCGAAGATGGATATAGAATACTGGACGGATCTAATTTCTCCTTGCACTTTATGAGTCAATTTTATTTTCAAAATAAAAAAACTTTAAACATCTCTGAATCTTCCATCAAAAGGAAAGGAGTATCTTGCCAAGCAGTTTACTTCATCAAAAGATCTGGATTCTCAAAACAGATCTATTAGTGTTTTTGAGGAGATAGCCTCGTTCTTAAGGAATCTATGCCAGTTCTTTAGTACAGCTGCAAAGCAGAGTTGGCCTAGTGACCATGTGAATCCTTCTGGCCAACTGTTACTGGATCTGTTCAGGAAAACAAGTGGCTGTGTAAAAATAACTGAGTTAAGGGTGAGGTATATGTCCCAAGTATAGAATGATAACATACTCCGAATATTACTGGCAAAAATTTCATTTATATGTCATTATAGAATATATTAAAGGAAAATCCCTCTTGACTAAAGCTTAGTGATATATTCCAACTATTATCTAAAAATCAAGAGTTAGTGACTAAGTCCTTGGTTGTTTTCGATTTGCAAGAAGTGTTTTCTATAACACTGTTCTTGCTCATTCTTGTAAAGATTAATTTTGTGTCTCAGCACATTTAACAGCAACTCCATATTAACATAAGAAAAGCTAGAAAAGTTGTTTCCACACAAAAATTTTTTTTCCATTTTACTGGGCCATCATGCTGTATTACTTCCAATTCTTGTTTTCATTCTGTGAATGCAAGGATTAAAATTTTGGTTCTTAGAGCTCTTCCCATCTGGCCTGCAGTTTGCTTCTCAACTATATGAAAAGGTAAAAGCCATTAAGTGGGAATTTCCTTATCGTTTCCTGTCAATAGCGCTTGAGGGCAGTGGTTTTCAACAGGGCTGCACAACATAATCATCTAGAGAGATTTAAAAATACTGATCCACTCCCCACAGATTTGGATTTCCATAGTTTGGGGTGTGCCTGGGCATTAGATTTTTAAAGCTCCTCAGGTGATTGTGATGCCCAGCAGAGGTTGAAAACCATTGGTTTTGAGGCTTTATCTCATTAGTTATCCTTTCTCAGAAGAGAAGATGAATTCTGCATCCCACCCCTGCTAAGGTCCTTCCTTGTTCTCTACTACACCATTTCTGTCTAGCATCTGCAGTCTTTCCCTGCTTTCCCTCTATTTACAAACATACAGTCAAGATCTTGACTTTAAAAAAAAAAATCTTTAGTTGACCCCATCATTTGCTAATTAGAAAAAGTGGTCCACTATCACCTTCTTCCTAAATGTTTTCCCATTTACCTGCGGCAGTCTGCAATCTGTACCCCCTGAGAGCTTTTGTTATCCAATGGCCATTTCTGAATAATTAATTTTCACCTTCAGAGTATTTGATAATGTCAGTGTCTCCTTGAAATTCTTCCTACACTTCCCTAATAATTTAAAACTTTTGCGTTTCCAAACTTTTACTACTCCAGCAGTAGTTAGTTCCTTCAATTTTGTGGGTTCCTTCAATTTCAATCCTTGGTCCTCTGCTCTGTCCTTTCCTTTTGACTACCCAACCAGTCTCTAGGATTAACTATTATATCCAAGCAGAACACCCTCCAAGATATTTCTGTCCCACCTGATCTTTTTATTTCCAGCTTCACATTTAAACTGCCTAGTGGGTGTTTTCATTGGATAATCTTACTCAAAAACTCAAATGCAATGTGTACTGTTCACTTGGCAGGAAATTCTGCACACCAAGTGACACTTCTATGACAACACTTGGTAGGTGGTACAGCTACATGATTCTAGTCTGTCACCGTAGGTCATAAGCTCTTTGAGGCCAGTGCCTTAAACATCTTGCATCACAGGTCCAACCACTGCTTTCCACAAGGTGCTCACATATTTGACACTTGTATCAAGGTGAATTGTTTTAAGATCCTGAAATAGCCAACTTTCTCTGTTCTCTGCTGTAATCTCTTTTTAGTAGGTTCCTAATGATGTGGTTCCACTAGTTCTACATAATGAGTCTCTCAAAAGCTATTAATTTCTTTTTCAGGGTCTCCTATAAGGTAGCAACACAAAGTTGGTATTCATTTTAACACATTAATGGAAGAAAATCATAATGAGTTTTACAAAATAGCTTGTTCTTAGGAGAAACAGTCGCCATGTTTTGCTTGGTTTCAGCTACCTCACTGCAAGACTTTGTTTTAGGTTACTTTTGATGCAGGAAAGATGTTACGGTTCACAGCTGATGGCTAAGAAAGAATTCTTGAGATATCTGTGGTGCAAAAAGGTGGTTTTATTAAAGCATGGGGGCAGGACCCATGGGCAGAAAGAGCTGCACCAGGGTCATGCAGGGTGGCAATTATATCCTTTCAAGTTGGGAGTGGGTTAGGGATAGGGTAAGTCTCTAAGGAATTTTGAAAACAAGGTTTCCAGGATCTTGAAGGGGTTAGCTATTGTTAGCAAAAGGTCATTTATTACTGTTTAGTTAAAACTCAGTCATGACAATTATCATATGATCTCTCTGATATGAGGAATTTTAGAGGCAGGGCCGGGGGTTGTATGGGGTAGGGAAGAAAAAAATGAAGATGGGATCGGGAGGGAGACAAACGATAAGAGACTTTTTTTTTTTAAAAGATTTTTATTTATTTATTTGACAGAGATCACAAGTAGGCAGAGAGGCAGGTAGAGTGAGAGAGGGGAAAGCAGGCTCCCCGGTGAGCAGAGAGCCTGATGCGGGGCTCAATCCCAGGACCCTGGGATCATGACCGGAGCTGAAGGCAGAGGCTTTAACCCACTGAGCCACCCAGGCGCCCCCATAAGAGACTCTTAATCTCACGAAACAAACAGGGTTGCTGGGGGGTGGGGAGGTAGGGACAGGGTGGCTGGGTTATGGACACTGGGGAGGGTATGTGCTATGGTAAGTGCTGTGAATTGTGTAAGCCTATTGATTCACAGACCTGTACCCCTGGGGCAAATAATACATTATATGTTAGAAAAAAAAAAAAAAACCCACTATTATTTAAAAAAAAAAAACAAAAAACTCAGTCATGAGACCCTTCAGATGTTGGGTCATATGCTTCGGGGATAATTGCCAACATGTATCTTGTGAGGTAGAGATGAAGGAAGTTTCCAAAGTAATTTTTGTATGTTAAAGTCGACTTACAGGATCCTGGGGGTCAGGCTAATGATTGCCCTTTGCCCTTAGCAAAGTATTAACACTGAGGAAACTGTTCCTAAAGGAAGGTCACTGCCTGTTTCAGAGACTTGTCAATGTAAGTAGTAAGGAAATTCAGGGTTTCTTTTGCCTTTGTTTCCCACATCATTTTGATTTTCATGATGGCATCAAGGGATAACAAGAAAGAAGCAATGACTACTGTTAAGATGACTGCTGATCATTACAAATCAAAAGAAATACAAATTAAACAGCTGAGTAATCTCATCCCTATAGCACACTGAACACTTAAATAGTATTTTTCAGCCTTAAATGTACACATGAAACAAAAGGGTATTATTAAAATACAGGTTCTGATGCAGTAAGTCTATGGTGGGGCCTGAGAATATGCATTTCTAACAAGTTCCTAAGTGATGTTGATGCTGATCCAAGATTCAAAGGAATAAATGGTTATAACCCTGAATATGGTGGAAAATATATAAAATTAAAGTCATCTTTCCACATGAGGTGAACAGCAGTAGGAAGATTTTTTGCATCCTTCCCCATTGCTTATACATACAAAACACGTAGAGGTTTTGTTTACTTTTACCAAGATAGACTTACACTATATTCATGACCCTGTAACTTTTCCATTTAAAATATGGAAATCCTTTCAAATCAGATCTAGAATATTTTTTCTAATTTATAGATACATATATTTAAATAAGGATTTCATAAATGATGAATTTTGGTAAGCTCTTATAATATCGCTTAGAAGTACTGATAAATGCATTTAAAAATATTTTATAGCAATCCTTTCTCATTTGGTACAAATTTTTTTTTTTAATATAGAATGCTTCATGAATTTGCATGTCATCCTTGCACAGGGGCCATGGTAAGCTTCTCTGTATCAGTTCAATTTTAGTATATGTGCCGCCCAAGTAAGCCCTGCTACATCTCCTTTCTTAAAAATGTTATTTATCTATTTGGGAGAGAGAGAGTGCCTGCACACAAGCAGGGGGAGGGCAAAGAGAGAGGGAGAAGCAGGCTCTCTGCTGAGCATGGAGTCCAACATGGGGCATATCCCAGAACCCTGAGATCATGACCTGAGCTGAAGTCAAATGCTTAACCAACCGAGCCACCCAGGTGCCCCTGTTACAAACCTTTTTAATGAAAATACTATGTCTGGCTATTTAAGTGAATTTTAAAGTATCATGAGTCATAATGGAGAAGTTAATTCAAAATAAAGACATGAACCAAAAAAAGCAGATAATACCAAGTTTGTCAAGGTTAAGAACAAAAACCCATAGAGTAAATTGGTACAACTTTGGGAAAATAGGCAGTACCTACTAAAGCGGAACATAAAACATGCCCTGTGGCCCAGCACTGTGTACATATGCTTGTACTATGCATATATGTAAGCAACAGCACTTTTTATAACAGCCTCAACTGAAAACTACCCACACGTCCAGCAACAGTGGAATAAGTATACTGAGTGTCTCATACACATAAAATGCCAGAGAGCAATAAGAACTTAACAAATTGCAACTACATACCATGACAGAGGTGCATCTTACAGACATGTTGACTGAAAAAGGCCTAACAAGATGCCAGGACACACTGCATGGTTCCATTGTACAGTTTTAAAAGAGGCAAATCAAGTTTTTGTTCTTAGAAGTTAGGACAGTGTTTGCTTATGGCATAGGGAGGTGGGTAGGGATTAGGAAGGGAAGACTATTTAGGGTACTGATAATCTGCATCCCATTCTGGGTGATGTGACAGGAGGGTGTGCTCAATATGAAAATTCAATGAGGTGGACACTCGTCACTTTGTTCTATGTATATTTGAAGAAAAAACACACAAATAACTAGCATAGTAGTTGGGCCTGTGGAATCAACCTGTTTTCTGTGCTGAAGAGCATTCATTTAGTGTAGGTCATCATTTGAAAAGTGAGCTCCATCATCATCATTCTTCTTCGGAGT